AAGTCCTAGTGTAGTGTATTAGATTCAAGGAGCACTCATTCTCTCCCTGAAAACATGATCACAGACCCTTTAAGACAGTAAGAGACACAGGTGCATATAATCCGAACATTTGAAAAGTGGAGGTGAGAGGATTGCTTGAGTCCAAGGGTTCAAGACCAGCCTGGGCAACTGGGTGAGACTTCATCTCTGCAATAAATCACAAGATTAGCCAGGCATCATGGTGTGTGCCTGGGGTTCCAGCTGCTTGGAAGGCTGAGGCAGAAGAATCATCTGAGCCCAGCAGGTCGAGGCTGTGGTAGCTGTGAGCATGCCATTGCACTCCTGTCTAGGCAACAGTGAGATTCCTACACACAAACACACACACACACACACACACACACACACACACACACACACACACACACACACAATGACAGTAAGAGATACAGAGAATCATAGATTTCCCTCTATAGAGACAGCTTCTCTCTACATGGTTAAGTGCTCTCTTTGTCTATGTCATTTCTTGTGCATAATAATTGGGGACAGAGAAGAGTCTTTAAGTAAATCCAGAGAAAACCTCTCTGTGTGTGCTCCTCTAAATCTTACTTGGACACTGGTGGCACTGGATCCACTTAGGAAATTAAAGTGATTTATGATCTTGAGGTAAGGAGGAGGCGAGGATGAAAGACAGAAAAGACAGAAAGAATGTGGTGTGAGTACAATACCATCACTGAGACTTGGATCTATAATAGTTTAATACTGAGAATGGTTCCCACATTATCATATTTTGTTCCATGGGGTCTATGATAAAAGCCCTTACAGGTATAAATTAAGAATCTGGCAACAAGGAGATTATCCTGCATTAACAAGGTGGGCCCTAAATGCAATCACAGTGTCCTTAGAGAGAGAGGCAGAGGGGGACTTAACAGAGAGTAAGGGAGAAGAAAATGTGGGGTGATGTGTCCACAACCAAGAACAGTTCCACTCTACCAGAAACTTGAGAAGGTAAGGATAGACTCCCCTAGAGACCCTGGAGAAGCCCATCCTGTCATCACCATGGTGTTGGTCCATTGAAACTGATTCTAAATTTCTGGCCTCCAGTACTGTGAAAGAATACATTTCTGTTGTTTTAAACCACCACATTTCTAGAAGTTTGCTATATCGGCCCAAAGACAATTATGCAAATGTGGCTCAGGAAAAACCTGTCTAAAGGTGTGATGATCAGTTTTAACCTCCACATTCAACTTTCTAATGCTACACATAAATGAATTGGTGGTAAATTTTATGATTAAAAACTACATGAAATCCCACAGTGTACAGAGAGGCATTCATTAATTGTATAATCAATATTGATAAATTTTAGTTGAAGATAACATCTGACTAGTATTATCTTATATAACATATTTATTCTAATATTCTATATTTAGAGGAGTAAAAAAAGTAATAAAGTCGACAACCACATAGTCAGGTAGGTAAAAGACAGCCTTTTCCTTGCATTAGTTTCCTATTGCTGCTGTAGCAAATTACCATGGCCTTACTGGCTTCACATAAAACACATTTTTATCTTATAGTTCCAGAGGTGATACGTCTCACTGAAGTAAAATCAGGGAGTTAGAAGGGTTGTATTTCTTTGGAAGCCTTTGCAGGGACAAGGATAATCTGATTTTATGCTTTCTCTGCTTCAAGACACCTACACAATCCTGGTCTATGGTTTTTTCTTCCACCATTTCAGCATCCCTTTCCACTCTCCCTGCTTTGCTCTGACTGTGACCATCTTCCCTCCCAACTATAAGTACCCTTCTTATTATAATGACCTCATCTAGGTAATCCAGGATACTCTCCTAATCTTAAAAACTTTAAGTTAATCACATGCCAAGTACCTTTTGACATGTAATATAATATTCATAGACCAGGGATGAGGATTTCACACTGGAAAAAATAGCAAAAAATTGACACAAGGAAGGAAGAATAGACAGGGAAATATTCATTGGGTAGGCGCTACACCTGAGGACTATTGGAACTCAAACCCATATGGGAAGATGGAGGAAATCTTCTGTGAGGTGAGGGATCTAGGGTATGTATACACCTCTCTGTCCTCACTGATTGAGGGCTGTCTTAGGAGATGTTTATTTCAGGCCTTGTGTTTTGCCACATGTGCAGGCAAAGCTGCCTTTCCAGTTTCAGGGAGACCAGTGAGGAGATGATATGACTATGGGTGTCAGCAGAACAGAAGTGAAGTGAAAGGGAAATGTGCAGGGTAAAGACCAGGACGGCTATGTCTGCTCGCAGACAAAATGTGTATTTCAGTCCAGAGCTGCATATCACTGAAGTTGGATCTTAGCAGGCTGTATAGTCACAAATTCCCTTAAAATTCAGACCCACAAATGCAGCAGAAAGTTTGTGCACAGGTTCCATCTCTGTGATCTGGCCATCTATAGTCATGCATCAGTAGACCTCCCTGGAATTCCTAAATTCCAGTCTGTGATACTGATGTATTTGGCTCCACTTCCTCTTCTGCTGAACCAGGCAGGGATGCCCTGGGCCAAGATACAGATGTGAAATATAGAGGTTCATATCTGTGTCCAAGTTTTTTTCTGGATCAAGTTATTTTTCCATGTATATGAGCGTTGATATGTCACGAGATGGAGAATCTCTCTCCTGGATATGGGAAAGGGAGCCTAGTATTTGGGCCAGGATGATGTATTCACTTGCTTCTAAAGAGTAAAAAAGAAAGTGACATTGATGGTGCCTGGAAGGGACATACATTGACAGCAGCTGCTTCACAGAGGAGAGAAGGGATTCCTTGACCTGGCATCTCTCCATTGCCACACACCCACCTGCTCTCCATAAAGACAGCCTCTGAGAGAGCCACCTCTGTGCTCTCAGGAGCATGCTGGTGAGGAGTGTAGCTTGGAGCATTATCCAGGGGATATGGCATTAGTCTTTGTATTTTGGAGGCAACTAACCACTGGATCCTGAAATGATCCTGGGTTTTAAGTTTATCCCAATCCAGTATTGCATATTTCAAGAAACACAACTTTTTGTTGAGGAATCAGATCAGAAATCACTATTGAGCCACTTATGCTGATGAACTGTGGGAAGTAATATTCAATGGCAAAATGGGGAGTAGAATATTGGGTCCCCAAACCAAGAATAAGATGGTGCCTATTTTGTCCCTGGGTGTGAGGAGACCTATAGCTCTAGGTAATGGTGGATCTGTAAGTGACAGGCATTTACTAATCATAGTATCATCTTTGTGCATCTGCTGTGAATTGATAGGCATTTTATTGGAATAACAATGGCTTAAGATCATTACAAACATTTTTAATAAATATGTTCCTGAGAACTGTTTTATTACAAAAAAGCAAGCAATTTTACACTGACGATGAAGATGGATAATCCAAATACATTTTACTCCCACCTGAGTCATTTAAGGTAATTTGGTTACCTGCCAGCTCCTTCTAAGGGTTTACTGTGCATTTCCTTCAACAAAGAGATTCTCTTTCATAATCATAGTACAATTAAAGAAACACAAAAACAAAACATTATTACATCTTTTCCTAATGTCCACTTTAAATTTTGACAATTGTACTTTAAATATCTTTTGTGACAATAGTCCTCTGGAGAGAAACATGTTCTCTGCAGAGAAGTGTCCTGGCACATTGGGGAAAAGGCACGTGTACTGAGTTATTGAAATGAGATAGTTCTGCAGCTGTGCCCAGCCTGCCCTTCTCTTGCTGATTTACATGTTTCCAGGGCACAGCCCACTACCCTGAAGACTTATTAACAGGCTTGTCACACCCCGTGCAGGAGTCAGTCCCAGACAGGACAGAGCATGGACATGAAGGCCCCCATTCAGTTCCTGGGGCTCCTGTTTCTTTGGCTCCCAGGTAAGGAGGGAGAACACTAGGAACTGACTCAGGCAGTATGAGCAGTACTGCCTGGCACTTCAGGGAAATCCTCTTGTAACATAATTAATGATGTGTATATTTGTTATTATTTTATCAACCTAAGGTGTCAGATGTGATATCCAGATGATTCAGTCTCCATCCTCCCTGCCTGCATCTGTAGGAGACAGAGTCACCCTCACTTGTCAAGCAAGTCAGAGCATTGGCAATGACTTATCCTGGCATCAACAGAAACCAGGGAAAGCCCCTAATCTCCTGATCTATGAGGCAACCAAATTGAACTCTGGGGTCCCATCACGGTTCAGTGGTAGTAGATCTGGGAAACATTACACTCTCACCATCAGCAGCCTACAGCCTGAAGATTTGGGGACTTATTACTGTCTACAGGATTACGATTACCCCCTCACAGTGTTACAAACCATAACATAAACCACCCAAGGATGAAGATATGTGAGGCTGGGCTGTCCCAGATGCTCCCCCTGGAGACTTTATCTGCTGAGAGTGTTTATCAGGCTCAGGTTTTGAAGGTCATTGGTAGAACTTGAGACAGGGAAGTCATAAGGTCCCCTTTGCACCACTAATTCTCTTTTTTCCTTCTCAGCCCCAGCAATAAAGTTATGGAAGAGCCTCTCCTTATTTAAAAAAGAAAAAAAAATGAGTCCATCTGAAGAGTCTGTATTATGAGATAATTGAAATTTATATAGCAAGAGATAAACCACTCTAGATTTTCCAGCAGGAATTATGTTAATTCAGAGAAATGGAGTCTAAACCACAGCCTGAGCTATGTCATTCAGGGAAGCATACATTAGAAGCAGAAGATTGTCTTGTTCTTCAGAAACCAGAGTGTACCTGCCCCTGAAAATATGGGCTGACTAATCAAGTGGTCCTCATTACCTGTCTGGGAAGCCAGGAGTGGTGGTGCTGAAGCTCTCATCTGATGCAGTATCTTCCTGGGTGACTCTCCAGTCCTCATTTTAGTCCATGTGTTCTCCTTCTGGTGTCAATGAATATTGAATTATCCTCTTTTGAATTACAAATCTCATTATAGGACCTATTGAACAACTCTACAGGCAGTCAAAGAGTGCTCATGATGGGGGTTTGGCAGCTGACAGCCCAGTATGGTCACTAGTTCCACAAGACTCAATATTCTGCCAGTTAGAGAAGCCCCAGAAGACACTTGGTTGTGCTTTCAACGATTACCAGCAAGTCTGGAACATAGCAAGAAAACTTCCTTAAGTTAGAGAAGAAACAGAACACCAATA